GGCTGGGGGGTTGGGTACAGGCGGGAACGGGAAGAGTAAGCTGGAAAACTTGAGGAAAAAGTTCCGGCTAACGTCTTGGAAGTGTACCAAAGAGAAAAAAAAAAAAAAATAAGGGAAAACTCCACCGTCGGGACTCTCCTCTAAGTGTATCACATAGTAAATTTAGTTTTCCAACCTCCGTTCTCGGAGTGTTTCACCAAGCACCCACCACCCATCCACTACCATCTCCTGGTTGAAGGCTCCCACCCCGAGTTTTTCGCGGATATCTCCCAGTTGCAGGGGGAAGGCATCCGCCATTTTCCAACATGGTGGACAAAATTCAGATCGTTCATGCGAATCTAGCCGATCAAACGGGCACTAAGAGCCAGCGCTTTGCCCCAGCTTAACTCAATTGGTGAAGGTAGCCATGGCATATTGTCAGTTGAAAATATATCTCTGGGTAAAAGTGCCAGTTCCAATCGATAAACCCACGACAACGGTATTTCCTCTGGAGAATACTCGAGGGATCAGACGGAAGTTGAAATGCGGAGCGTCTTTGGGATGTTTGGATGAATTTCGGGTGGGTGAATATTCGAAGGGTATAATTGGGCCTGAATGTCTATGGGCATCATAGATGAGATGAAGGGCTGATGAGTGGAGCTGGTGAAGGGCGTCTGCGTGGTGGAGTGAGTGGGGACCTCGTGGTGATGGCCAATGGCGTCTTGGGTGCGCACCGCTGCACTCGACGCAATATTCGAGACAAAAGAAAATTGCCATTGGATGAAAAGGGCGTAGAAAAAACCATCGACGCCATCGATTCGTCCGGGAGTCACAGCCGAACGAGAGCATCCAATCGAGACTAATGATTTTTGCAAATCGTCAAAATGTCAATGCGCCATTTACAAGAATCCATAATTATTTTTTCACATTCTACAATTCTGGGATTATTAAAATATTTATTAATTATTTTAAAAAAGAGATGATTGATTCATGATTAAAACGTGACATCTCATTTTTCATTACTCAAACCATAATATCTCAGTACCATGACAATTGGTGATAAAGACGAAATTATTGTAGAATAATCTTAAAGATCTTGATGTTTTTTTTTTCAGGTGTGAAGGAAGAGGATGCCAAGGAATCGTCCTCGACGTCGATGAACTCACCCCCGAGTAAAAAGCAACGGAAAGCAAGAACAGCCTTCACCGATCACCAATTACAAACACTGGAGAAGAGTTTTGAGAGGCAAAAATACTTGAGCGTTCAGGACAGAATGGAATTAGCGGCTAAACTACAATTGACGGATACGCAGGTCAAGACGTGGTACCAAAACAGAAGGTATATATACTATCCATCCACAATGATTAATCATATACTCTAATATCCATTAGAAACCAGTCCTTTATTTTTTGAGAGTCACGATTCGATTTAAAACAAAAACGAAAAATGATAATTCAAAGCGATCCCTTTCAGTCCGTAAAGTTGCCGAACGAATCGTTGAATTAAAACTGTAACGTTTAAGAGGTTAAACACCGCCCCAGGATTAACAATATCCACCGAGCAGTTAAAACAATCTGTTGTACCTCTTTGGGGCCTTCTCTATGGGCCCCTCGTTTACGTGAATTTTTAGCGGATGTGTCGGGACAATATGAAACAACTGTTAGGCTCCCACCAATTCAAGGCGCATCATTAGAATTTTTTCCGGTGATGCTTTAAGAATATCAACTCATTCAAAACGGCCAGCAGCCCTAACTACCGTAGACTAATCGTCTGAGAAGGTAGCATCTTGGAGATGATAGGCGGGTACAAGACGCGTCCGATGACGAAAGATGAGTCGAGCAGGCGCCACTCGATGACTCGGTGAAAAATTCCTCGGTATAGAGATAGAATGTTAAAAAAAAATTTGTGTCCGACACTTGGAATGATTGACTTTACTCCATCGATCGGTTGATAGGGGTTGAGTAAATATATTTTAAGGAAACTCGTGCTGATAAACATAAGAGGTTACCCTCCAAGACTTTATACTTACCAAGAAATAGTGTGCAACATATTCCAGGAACTTTAGGGGGCGGGCAATCGTTACGGGTCGTTAAATTACCCCCCCGAGAAATCGTTTCAACTTATCGGCTAATCACGAGTAAAAGTGAAGGCAAGAGAGGGTAAAGGTAAAATCGCCATGGCGTCACGCACATTATACATTAACGCATTTATGCCAGTGCAGATGAAACATCAATATTTCATTCTCATTACCATTGACAAATAGAATAGAGTTAAACGTACGAATAATTTTAATTGGTGGCTGAATATCTCGACATTGAAGAGCGAGCAATTGAATTGAATAGAAAATAAAAATAACGAGAATAATAATAAATAATAATAATGGGAAATGAGTGCGTTAGTCGCTGTTGAAAAGTAGCTACCGCATAATACTCTAGAATTATGGAGTTATACCTCCTGAGGGCAGGTATCCTCTTACACGCACGATGAATCCTCCAATGGTTCGCTGGACGCCAGAGAAAATTAGTCATCAAGAAAATTATGCCAAGTTACTTGTCCAGTCGTATGTACACTCACTTGATTTCCACTTCCTCAATTTTATTTCCATTGATTGGATGCACCGTTGTTGGTCTGTCTGGAGGCTCTGCGCTATTTTCAATGATTTTTTTTATTAACCGTTGACACGAGTCCATCTCATCTCTTGGACCAGTCTGGATGACAAAGTCCTATTGCCTCTGTCATTCCAGGGATATTTTTTATTTCACTCTGGGTTGTATTGTAACACGCCAACCGTGAGAATAGTGCGCGCCTCTTTGCCGCATCCAGGAAGAAGACGTTCGCCATCACCAGGACAGAACTTCCCACGATGCGACAAAATAAGTCTGATGCGTTATAACGGCTACACCATAGATTAATTCTGTAATGAGAAAATGGCCGATTCATCTGATGATTTCTCATGATTTCTGACTGGACATATGGAAAATTACACTTGGTATTTCCGAGATAAAAATTGAAAATGAGAATTTTTCATTGATCATTTGATCTAGATTATTATAATTATAATTATGCATGACTCATTACATTTTTTGCCGCAAATATATTTCATGTGAATGTACATTCGCCATGTATGTGTGTAATATACATTTTTTAAATTAAATTTTTAATTGAAATAAAATTAAAACTCATAATTAAACCCCAGATGTCTTAACGACTACAATTTCCCGAAATTCTGAACAAAACAAATCCCTAATATCAACTGGAAAAATAATTTAGCCTCCGTCTGCCAGTAGTTTCCCATAAATTATTTCTTCCACTAATGATTGTCAGAACACGAGTGAAGCGGCGATGAATGGATAAGGCATGTTATATCATTTATTTATTTACCACAATGGATACATTCACTTGTGAATACATTATCCTAGTGCTTTGTGTTAATGTCGGCTTGTTGTCACCCTCAGGTTCTCAAAAAAAAAAACACATGCTTCCACTCCCCATGACCACCACAGCCAACCGGTATACCAATGATCATTTTAAAAAAATATGTCGCCCTTGCTATAGTTTTACTGTTATTATCCTGATGTGGCACTTGGTGAGCTACATCACATTAGGCCTGATGTTAGGACTATCGTTTTGAATAACACAGCCGTGACCGGAGAATACCACATCACCCAGAAACCAGAACTCTCCCATTATAAATGCATTAACTTTTGTACCGCCAATGTTACTCTCATTATTACCTTATTTTCCACCCGAGTAATATTAATCCATAGTATCGCTAGTTTTGTTTCCTGGTAGTGAATTTATAAAGCCACTCCATTCCATTGGCTGGAAGGAAGGGGAATTTTAATAAATAAAAAAAAAAAACGTGCTCTTGAAATTCCAATAGTTGTCGGACAATAAAAAAATTAATTAATAACGTTTTATAACCGTTACGCTACATTTAAAGTTCGCACGGTGTTTTTATCTTCTTTTATTCCTATCCCCGGTTATAATATAAGTGTAATAAAATTCATTTAGCCATTGCGCATTGAAGATTCTCGGTGATAAATCAATTTCGCTCGGGTGAGCATCAAGAGCTCAGGGGTTGCACGATGCCAATTAAGGGTGTTTTACAGTGTGGTTGCACTTAAAAAAAGGGTATGCGAATTGAAAGAGGTATTAAAAAACATTACTCATCATATAATCGAGCGAGCATCGAGTGCTCCTCATCTCTCACCATGTGACAAATGATGTGGCACTCTTTAAAATTCATGAGAGTCTTTTCCAGTTGTACCCTCTACCCGATTCAAGGATAGTTGAATTGGAGCTCGAATAATTCCATAAATAATATATCAATTTATCAATTTCAACGCATTTGATATTGCGCTGTGGGTTGAGAGAGTGAGAGAGAGAGAAAGGGGGGAGTAAAAAATTTTGATTATTCCCGTGGGCTATCAATAGAGTCAAAAGGTTTTGGTTCTCGTCTATGTGGTGTGCGTGACATGATATGCGATGATTAGCCACTGAACTCCATGAGCTATTTGTTAGTATAATAAGTCGAGCAGTGTGGCCAATGTAACCACTTGCTGACACGCTATCCCGTTTTAGAGTAATTTTCTCAGATGGTGAATTTACATACGCGTCCACACCCATACCCTAGCCATTCTCACCATTCCGACTATTCTAGCTGCGGTATTCTTAAGAGCCCACGGTAAAACTCTTCCGCAGGAACCAGACATCATATCAAAAGCGATATACATTGATAGGGGAGGGTAAAACAGGTATCAGGGTCAAAAGTCGTTATGAAGATCTATATTTATATGTGTGTTCGTGATTTCATGATGGGATTCGTAGGGTTTCCATCGTGTCCATCGACCGCCTCCATCCCTCAAAATATCGTAATACCCTATCATTCACGGTGCTTTCCGGCAATCATCCCCATCATCCCCCATCACAAGCAATCAGTAATTTTTTAATGTTATATTTTGAATTGCAGAACAAAATGGAAACGTCAGACGATAGTGAGCTTTGAAATTCTCGCTGAGGCTGGCCAGTACGTGGCCTTCCAGAGTATGTACGGTAATCGTACTGGTGTACCAACACAACCCTCTTACTGGCCTTATCCAGGTGCTGCTGCACCACCACCCAGTGAATTATTTTACAGACAGGCAACTGCTGCAGTGACGCTGCAAAAACCCATGGCACACCGTTTTTATCCACCAACAATGATGCTAGCTGGTCCAAGTGCGCCTATTGGTAGTCTAGCTGCAAGTTCAAGTCTCTCAAGTCTGAGTAGTTATTACAATCGTGAGAGTCCTGAGATGATGCAGGAGGCGAGGGATAGAGAGCACATGGAGAGAAGTGGTATGCAGAGAGCGAGAAGCAAGAGTCTTGAGAGAACACCACCACCTAGGGATGCCAGTCCACAGAGTACGAGAGTTGATAGCGATGATGAGAGTATACATGACATCTAGGACTCGGTTGATACTGTACAATCTGTGCAAACTGTGCAACCACTCTGGTGTCATCCCGGTGATGAGTCTGATGCTGGTTGAATGATAAATTGAGCTGTTGGTGCATTGGCTCTCTTTCAGAGGAAACAGGAAAGGTGATACCTGCTACAGTCTAGGACGGTTTCACGGTAAAAAGGATCACTGTGGATTCACCCAGGGAGATCCCTTTTGACATTCGAGATTGACGGCAATATATATGTATACATATATATAAAACACTGGGCTGGTTGTGTACATGTGCAGGATGTGACGTGTGGTTAACCGACGCGCTTTTGTCAACGCTCTGGCGGCTCGTGTCAATTGTTCTCCTGGAAAAACAAACTCTCTTTGTTTTTTTTTTACATATTTTTTTTCACTCCCTCAACCCCCAGGTGGTTTTTAAGTACTTGCTGTTGTTGCTGTGATAAAAAAAAAAAAACCAGTGACAACTGTGAGCTCAATGTGCACAATAATAAACTCATGGTTTTGTTTTATTACATTAAAAATATTTTCTCATTCTAAAATGAAATGTGCCAGAATGGAGTGGGGGATGATTCAGGGATGAGACTGTTGTGGGGATTCTGGTTCAATTAATGTACCATTAGTGGATTGCTGTTGTTTTGATATGATTACGAGGATTAAATGACACGAAATTACGAGGTAAATGATGCCCAGGCTAGTCCCGCGAATGAAAAAACTCATGCCAATCAAGACTTCCCTTTTTCCAGCATCTGATGTAGATTGAAGTGAAAAACAAGGAGAAATAAGTGAGTCATGAAAATGCATTAAATGGAGTAAAGAGAGATACGTTGTACATAAGTACATGATACAACTGTACGATTATAGGCTTCGCTATGATTCAATTTTAGGTATATAAGTAGGTACATGTACATAAGCTGAGCACTGTGAGTGAGAAACGGATGTGTAATACGTTAAATGTGAGGTAATGAGTGAGTACTTGAAGTTAGATGGTCGAGCCAAAGTCAAATGGAATTGAAATTGAAAAATATCTATTGCAAAGAGTTATTTTTCACATTCAAAGAATGATATTCCTATTGGCAGTATTCATCTGTCCAATTATTCCGCAATTGAGTAAACATAGGCAATAATACGAATAATAATTGATCATTCGCTATTTTTTTTTATCTTTTCGAATGAGAAATTTACCAGTATTATTGAATGTATAAAGCAGGATTTACATGACACATGAATCCATCCGGGAGAGATTGCGTTTATGCGAGAACTATGAATTATTATTGTGTAATGATATGTGAGAATTAACAGCAATCGTCGACGCATCGAATGTGTTCGAAGAAAACAGTTAAATGGACAATGAAAATATAACTTCTTTGCCGTGCAATTAGTGGTAATTGATGCAGAAGGAGGAATATAGCGAACCTATGCTTTGTATAATAATGTCTGTATAGCAAAAATTATTATATTGAAAATATATTATACTAAATTTATCGAGTGATTGATTTTATCACCAAAACAGCTTGTCAATTTTTATTGATATTGGATTGATATTTTGGATTGATAAATTCGAGTTGATGCAGAAATATTCTAGAATTTAAATGACCAACAAGTTATACTGCCAGGATTTTTGTGTATAGCGAGCATGATGGATGTGTGCTGGCTTCCGGTATTTCGGAGGGTGTCAATTATCCAGCACCCATGGGGGAAAAGGGGTTATTTCGTTGAGCTATTAGGGTAAACCAAGTAGTTTCCTCTTGGTCTTTCCAATTACGTGAAATTAATTTCAACTCCCATTAGTGGTCAGTTTTCGTCGACGGCCCTTGCGCTAACGATTTTCTAGCTGGCTAAAATCGTCGGAGCGAGACTGTTTGGGAGTTTCAGTATTCATCGCACCGTTACAAAACTCTCGGTCACAACTCAACCCCTCAATAACAACTGCTCTTATCAAAAAAAAAGGAGACGATGAAGAAGGAAAAAAAAAAATGAAAAAAATCTCAACGATTGCCGATGGGAAAGAGCCCTTTCCCCTGCTCCCCTGGAAACCCAAGACGTCCAGTGAAAAAAAAGGGGAAAAAAAGGATGTGGTTAACCTGTCGGAGGATGAATTGAAGCTCTTGTTGGGCTTCTGGCATCCTGAAAACTCGAGCGGGTGCGCAATGCACTTTGAAATTCTGCAGTATTCGCAAATTCTAGTTGGCCTGGGGTAAATACCATAAAAAGCTAAATAAAATGCCTCCACAATCTCTCAGTTGGCGATGAAAAACAGTAAAGGCAGCAAGACGAGCAAGAGCGTATAATGTGTCCATGGTGAAAAACCACCTGCCTTCATCGCTATCTTCCTCGATCACGACTCTCAACTACAGAGTCTTTACCCTGGCACACTGGCTATCCCCACCTTTATCCTCAACTGATGTTATCTCCTCTTCAAGACCAACGGACCACTTATATCGTTAATTGCTCCAACTTCCGTTTTTTACTCTCCCATGAGCATCAACCCAACGCGTCCTCTACTACATCAACTTCAATCTTTTATTATTACTCTGTCTCTGCTAATCAACTATCGCATCAACTCTAGTTTAAATATATACCAACAGTATTACTGCTGCTAGCGTTAATGAGTCATTAGGAGATCATGATAGCTAACTAATGTTTAACCAACACACTGGGGCCCTTCCATTGCGTGCGCGACATATTTTTGTTATTTTTATGAGTGAAGAAGCACATGCTCTGGTTAATTTAAATATTGTAATTGGTCAGTAGAATCTGATTAGTGCGGTAACGACGATTAAGAGATTAGATACTTTTTTTCGACTGTTGAGCATTGCGCTGGGGAAGCTCGTGATCAATTCTGTTAACATATGGGAGACCTTTTTTTTTTCCACTCAAACAATTACGAATATTCGTGAGTTGGGGTAAATATGTTTTAAGATCACATAGACAATGACTAAAGCAGCTTTATCAATGCTTGAAATCTGTTCCAAATGGCTGGCTCGGTGTAATATATCTTCCAAAGGAAGAGAGCAATATCACCAGGAAGTAGCTGACTTAACTTTTAATTTTATGATTTTTATTTTTCTATTTTTATAATTGCTGTGGATATTTTTTTTTAATGTCGAGTCCAATTAACGTTACGGAGGCGATCAGAACGATTTATTAAATCTCGGAAGTTTAATGTGAACCAGTGGAAACACTTGAAATACCAGCAAATACCTCAAATAGCTCGACGATTACCACTCGGTTGTACAACGAGTGTCACGCGATTTTCATATTTTTAAATAACTTTAACATAATACGCTTGGTGCTTTAATGACTACGCGTGACAAAATTCATTGCTACTTCGCATGGGTCATTATTTTACATCGGATAATGCAACTGGTCTAGGTTGAAGTTGTCAATGTGTGTTGAGTCCTTCATACACATGCACATGCATCACATGTTCATTTATAAATAAATTTTCAGTATTCTATCCTGATAAACTGACAAAGTAGGTGACAACTTGTCAAATTACGCTCTCTCTTCCGTATTCACCGTATATTTTTCATCCATCTTCGCTGTTTGCTACTTTATTAGTTTGTTGATGTTTTTATTTAAAAATTATATTATAAAATAGTGTTGAAATGTTGGGTAAAGTTATGGGAAAATTGAGGCAGATGTCGGAGGTGGGGCCTTGGATGATAAATAGTTAATCGTTTAGGCGAAAGTAGTAGGTCCTGTGGGAAAGGACTATTAATTATGGGAAAAGGTATAGCACGCCTTTGGTCAGTCGACTATCCCTGGGGACTGCCGGCAAAGTTGAAAAGGACTAAACGATTTGTTACTTTGACCAAATTATCGTGGGCCCAATGGAGTTCATTTAGCAGGTGAATGGTGGCCACTATTTTTTGACTCTCTTCCTCGGAGACGAGGAAAATCGGTATCGGAGGGGGAATAAGTGATTGAGATCCAAATGCAAACGAAATTATTAAAAAATATAAATAAATAAATAAAGGTTGAACCAGAAGTCTTACAAATCGTCTCGTGAATTTCAACGCTTCCGATTGTTTTTTTTTATTCCTGCAGTTTTACGCTAAAACCAAAAAAAAAAAAAAACTCAAAAACAACAATAAAACAATTTATCATTTTGGATTACATAAATTGATCGGTTATTTGGATTAAATAATAGCAATTGAAACCTATAATTGTTGGTAATTAAAATGATTATTAATAATAAATTCAGTTATTTTTAAAAATATATATTTATATATTTATATATTTATATTATGATTGTAATTGTTTGAAAAACGGCGGGAGTTTTTGCAGCATCTGAATTTTGAGAAAAGTGAGTTCTCTCCTTGTGCGGTAAAAAAAAGACATTATCGACTATTTGAATGGTGAAATAATGAAAGACGCAATTATAGTAAAGAAAAGGAGCATTGTCATGATCGGGCGGTGGACGGACAGGATGATCGTCGCCTCATTTATTTCCTGGCGGGCGGGCGCAAAGCGAGAACTAACGCACAACTGCGCCTGTAATTTTCAACGTCAGCGCCGAATATTAATTCGAATTCCACGTCGACGATGCACTACACTTTTTTTCCCATTGTCATTATGATAATCATTTTATTACTCCTATTGGCGGTGTGAAAACATCATCGGTAGCCAAAAGAGTCACCGGAATTTACAGTTAGCTCATGATGATTGTGAGAATGCACGCGGGTGCATCTTCGATTTCTCGTATTGTCCCAGTTGATGACTCTGATGATTAGGCACCACGTGGTGCTTGAGTGGAGTCATTTGAATCATTCATCCGGCTTGTCTGTCTGTCAACTGTCATATCAATTTGAGAATATTATGAGAATTATTTCTCCAGCCGTCATTTTCTGTTGTACATATTGCGGGCAAAATGGAATACTCACGGGAAAATATTTTTAACTCTTTTCCAGTGATTTTTTTTTCCCCCACAAATGTCGAAGACAGTCTAAACCTGTCCCAGTGTTTTTGCGAATTTAATTTTCTCTTTTCATTGTGAGATTGTTTTTTTAAATTTTTTATTCTATACCGTCATCTCATTTCAATCGGTCAGTTAATTTTTTAATTCCATTTTATCCTGAATAATTGGGGAAATACCATCGGACATTATTTCCGTAAGTATTTTGTCCATCGCCGTCTCGGGGAACTCGCGAAAGGGACATGATATAATTAAGCCCCTGTATCAGACTTGCGGAGTAAATAGGAACCCTATGTATCAGCCCTCGACATACATAACTCTTTGACATTTATTGATGATCCTTATTCTCCCTCATCTTTTAACTACTGCACGCGGTGTAGCTTCGAGATTAAAACGAAACAAGCGAATTGAAAGAATAAAATAAAAAGCATATTCCAAGCTAATTTGATCCGTTGTTAATTTTAATGACTAAAAATCCATTCAATTGTCTCTGTACATCTGTCATTAATTTTTTTTAACAAAAAAACCCAAGAAGGGCAAGAAGAACGAAAACTGGGAAAAAATTGGCAAAAAAGGGGCAACAAGGGACCAAGAAAAACCCGGCAAAAAAAAAAAAATTTAAGTAAAAAAAAGGTCAAGGAAAAAATGGAAAAAAAACCCCAAAAAAACAAGAAATAATTATTAAATAAATATTTTTAAATTCTTTTATAGTGATTTAACCAATGGATGACATTGATCGGTATTTTTGAAAAATATTATTGACAAGTTTCAAGTGAGAATTGAAAATAATTTAGTATCGGGCCGCCCATTGGATTGCTGTGGCGTACAACCACAAATAGTTGGAGTTAAATCCAATTAAGTTGACCCTAGTGGTTACAAGAATAAGAGGCGCATGACAATGGGCCGTGTGCGCCTCTTGGCAAAAGCTTAATACCCCTGAATTTAAGCCACGCCTTCGTCTCTCCAATGGGGGCTTTTGTTTCGCAGTTCATTTGTGCTACTACACTAAATGCCCCCCTTCCCCCTTCCCCCTTCCACTCACCCCATTTTTCCACAGATTTTGCCTTTTTTTTTATATACAACCAGTAGCGATTTTTTAAGGCACACCATAAATATAAGATGCGAAATATTTTTACATTTTTCATGTGGAGAGACATTCAATCGAAATTAATTAAATTAATTAGTTAAATTATTATTAATTAAATTAATTAGTAATTCCAGGGCGAAATGTGGTTGTGGGGCATTTTACGGAACTGTCAGGTAATTTTCCTGCAGCGTTTTTTTATAATTAATCATTTTTATCTGAATTATTCGATTCGATATTTCGATTCTGTGATCGGTAATCGAAATAAAATTCCGTAATATTCTTTGAATATTTTACTGGCTGGATTACAGGTAAAACCATAACTTCCCGGTCTTTTTATGGTTTATGAAAGAGTGGAGTGTGGAGAGATGGTCATTTAATCCTCATCGGTCGACCTCACCACGCGTTGAGACGAATTAAAGATGGAGAATGAAC